TTCTCATCTCCCAGGCTCTCGCCTGCAGGTGGAGGAAGGCTGGCTGGTGGGAGACTGTGCAGCTTCTTGGGCACCTGTTTGCCTTCCAGCCTGGTCATCCTGGGAGATTTTTCCAGGCACACATTGAGAGATTTGCTCCAGGGTTTTGGAGTTGAACCATCAGTTGAAGCTGAACTATAGGAATCATATACATTCCTTCATTAGACTTGCAGGAGAAGGGAAGGAAACAGTGAGTCAGGCTTCTGAGAGAGCGTTGGAGAGCTCTGGTCTCTCCTTGTACTGACAGCATCACCAACCCCTCACTCGAGGCTTCTCAGAGGACGCCTGAGTCATCCTGACCTTTGGAGGTGCTCCCGTCCCTGCAGCCCTAGTCTCCAGCTCGCCTCGAAGAGGCTGGCATTTTCTCAGTGAGGTGATGCTTGCGTGAGCAGAGGCCAGAAGAAGAAACGCAGCTGGAGAAAATCAATGTGGAAATGCCACTTGGCTCTTTTTGGAACCTGACAGCCAGAGCAAGGTACCCACAGGCTTCAAGTTCCAGACTCACTTGTAGAGGAGCTCCTATGGGTCCTCTGTCGTGGGGAGAGTGGGACCAGGTATGGGCATGCTCTGATATAAGCATCGCTATCACCACCATGCTCACCATGACTGTCCCGTCATCATCACCATCATCATCACCATCATCATCACTCCATCATCAACATCACCACCACTTTCTTCACCGTTATCATTGTCAGTATCATCACGGTCCACATCACCACCTTTGTCATCATCACCATCACAGTCACCATCATCAGCATCACCACTATTATTATTACCGTCGCCATCATAATCATCGCCATCGCCATCATCATCACTATACCATCACCATCAGAGTCACCACTGTCATCATCGCCATCAGCATCACAGCCATCACCAGCGTCACCATCATTGTCATCATCATCATTGTCTTGATTGACGTCATCATCACCACCACCATCATCATTACTGTTACATCATCATCGTAGTCGCCATTATCATCATCATTATCAATATCATCACCATCACCATCTTCATCATCATCATCTTCTTCACCATCATCATTCTCGTTGTCAATGTTATAGTGACTTATGTAATGGGCAAAATATATATCCCTCAATTCGAACGCGTCAAGACCGTATTTAACCCAGACTGTGGATGGATCCAAAGTGTGTGCTCTCAGTGTACACTGGATTTTTCCTTCCTAGTGTCGGTCATGTTGGTCACTACTGTTCTCAGGCGATTATTCGTGTAGTAGCCGTCTTCCTGGCCGGATGTGAGTTTAATGGGTAAGGACCGTCCTGTTCACTGGTGCATCTCCAGTGCTTATCAGACCTGGCACAGTGTAGGTGCCCAGTACGTACTAGTTGCTTAAACAAATTCACGGGACATCACACTCCCTCAGTTTTGTGTATTCTTTCCAAAGTTCCAAGTGTATTCACCTTCATTTAAAAAAAAATCCTTAAAGTAGGAAAGCAGGATGGGTATGAGTGACTCCAGTCAACACATGAGAGAAGGTAGCCACCCTGGGATTCAACCAGAGCCCCAGTCTTTACTCCTGACCTTGGATTCAGCGCTATTCTGAATTTCATCAGGGTCGTAAATGTCCGTGTCCTGAGCAGCAGAGAGGAGCAGTGATTCACTCCACGTTCTTCAGCACACGAGTCACCACGCTGTGCCTCTTGCTCAGCCCACCAAAGGGAAACATGGTCCAGCAGAGCTGCACCGTGGACCACGTGGAGCTGTGTGTTGCCGGCTAGGCTGACCTTGGGAAATCGATCACTTTAGCTCAGCTCCTTGTCCCCTTCTTTGGGTTACCTCACATCCTTTGTCTCTTGACTTCTTCTCTTCCCCTTCTCCTAAGCCTCCAGGAACCCACTGCGATCAAGTCTCCCCCCCCCCCAAAGCACCCAGCACCCTCCTCACCACTGGACTCCACCAACTTGTTGCTCCCCAGTCTCCCTTGCTTCCACTGTGCTGAACTTGACATCGTCCATCACTTTCATGCAAGCGACCCCATCAGTTATCTACTCCCTGTGCCTTTAGCCTATGCTGTGGTGTCCCCCCGGGAATATAACAAAGTCACTTGCTCTGTGTTGGCTACCTGGGCTCTGGACATTCAAATTCTGGTTCCACCTCTGATGAGCTGTGTGGTGCTGACTACATTTCTTAACCCCTCTGGGCCTCAGTTTCTTCCTCTGCATGGTGTAGTCATAACTGCACCGTTTCAGAGGGCTTTCCTGAGGGGTCTGTGAGTCAGTATGTGTTATGTGCTCAGGACAGTGCTTGGCACCCGTAACGAACTCAGTCAATGGCCGCCTAATCCAGCTCTAAATATATGATTCGTGCTCCGCGCACACAATCCCATTTAGTCCTCATGGCAGCTACGTGAGAGAGCCGTAATTATCTATATTCAAATCCGGATCTGTCTCCTTCCAGTCCCCATGTCTTTTTCATTATATTCAGTAATTAATTTATTCATTCATTTAGGACACCTGTTTTTTCCTCTGTATAATGTTAGCAGCCTATAAGAAAATGGACTCATCAATTTCCCTCTTTAGGAAGGCCTTTCAAGAAAGAATCTCTGGCTGAAAATTCTGGGCACGGTAGTCTGCTGATGGATGGAGTAGATGCTGATGGTGGACACAAAGGGGGAGGAAGGCATTACAGCTTCCCTCAAACGATCTCCGGTAGATAGCTTCCCACTTAACCCGTGTGTGGACCTACTGTTGGCAACGCCTTGAACATGATACGCTCGGGAAATTGCTGGGAAGGCTATTCAGTGTTTTGCAAATGCGAGGGCTGATTCTAAGTGAATATTATTAGTGAATAGGATACTGATCCTATACTACTCAGGATAGTGGAGATTTCCTCACTACCCGGATATTTCAGAAGGGTTGCAGTGTATTAGGAGCGCACCCCCCTTTCTTCCTTGGGCATCTCCCATAATAGACTTGCCCACTTCCTCAAATCAGGCCCCCGGAGAGGCCTGGATGTCCCAACAAAAGCACCGTATGCACAGGCCCATTATTGCCCGTCAATGAGCTCGATTTGAGCACAGAGAACACGTGCCATCTCTCAGAATATTGGTCCTCTCTGTTCTTCAGATGGAAAAACGAGGAGCAGCATCTTAGCTGCCCGTTGCACGTCATTTCCTGTCCTCTTCATTCAACAGATTTGGCACAGAGATGCCCTTCGTCCCAGGGCGGAAGGAAAATACGGAGCTGAGAGCCGCTCACTGTAAGGTTTGGGAGAAGTGCAGGCAGAGTCATCCAGGGTGCCACCTAGTGGTACCCACAGAAATGTCACCTGGCTTGAGGAGTCATGGCGAAAGTGTCTCATGTGTGGTGGGAGTAGCTAGAAAACCGACCTTTCGCTGGAAGGTCCCTGGGAAAGCCACAAGTGGCCCCTTGGTGGCATCTTCCTCCTGCCTTCTGGAAATGCCCCAGGTGGCCCTCCATGAGGCAGGCTGGAGCCTTGTGGCTAATTCGTAGGAGATTAGTGGGCTTTCATCTTTTCCAGACTCTGCCAGCTTTGTATCCACAAGCCCAATCCAATTTCATAAGCGTTTGTGGAGCTTTCCTGGGTATATTTCCCCAACTTGGTGCTTGGGACATGGATGGATTCATCCGGAGCTCTGGTTCCAAACTGTGGTGCCAAGACCTGAACATATATGGGGTAATGCAGGCAGCGTAAGGTACACGCCATCAGAAGGGTATAAGTCTTTTCTGTGCCTAGCCCAGGGTTTGGAGTAGTGTGCTTTCAATGAAATTGTAATGAACAAATGAATGCATGAATAAGTGATATGGTGAATGGGTGAGTGAGTGAATGAATGAATGAATGAATGAATGAAAGAAAGAGGTGGAGTGAGCAGTAAATCTACTGAACCCCATAACCCAGCGTGAGGATTGGAGGTGCTTCAGGAAGGGATAGGTGGCCCTGCAAGCAGCTCGTATCCCGGGTTCCATGTTAGAGCAGGATGGGAATTGGCCCTATGCATTCCTGAGGGGGCCAGCTTCTAGGGAAAGCTCACAAGGCTCAGCTCGGTGGCCTTGAAGACATGGTCCTGGGTCTTCTTTGACATACCTGGAGATGATAAACTTTTTTAAAAAAAGGTTAAAGTGTATAAGAAAACTTGGTGATGGAACTGGAGGTGATGGGGGCAGAAAAGCCACATCTCATGAGCAAACAGGAACGATATATAATTCCATTCTCCATTTGTTCAGTGATATTTCGATGTTCATGACTATGCCTTCAAAACTATCGAAACACTTATTGTAAAATGAACACCGGGGGAAAAAGTTGTCATTATAAGTTTGAAATTTTGTTTCCTAGCATTTACAAACAAACCCAAATGTCTGCAGGCGCCTGGCATGCACTGCAGATGAGGCGCATCACTAATGTGAGACGATAGGGAGTAGTGGGGCTTGTGGAGAACTGGCAAGCCCCACTTTCTCTAAAGGGAGGCATCACTGCTCCTGCTCACTGCTGCCAGGTGGGAATGAAAGCCCAGTGTCACCAGATCTTATTTGTCTCAAGAGGGGGCAAATCTGGATTTTTATGTTAATGCTCTTTATTCTAAAATATCTTGTCCACCAAACCAAACATACTCCTTCACAGGGCAAATTCTGCCTGTGGGCTGCATGTTGGCCACCCTTGTCCTGTTTGTCACCCTTTCCACTCTGAAACAACCCCTGAGAAGAAGAGGATTTGGGAAATTAGATGGAGGTTTGGGTGTGAGAATGGGGAGGAAGATTCCTTCTAAAAGATGTGTCAATGGGTGGGGGACAGAGTCAGATTTCAGGGTGAGTGGGAGGTGAAGGAACGACACCTCTTTTAAGAGATTTGATCATGAAAAGAAAGACAGGAACGGACATGGTCGTGTCTGAGCCAGGGGCTGTCAAATGAGTGTAGGGCATGTTCGGAAGGTGCTAAGAGGTCAGCACTTCCTTCTGAATTTATGGAAAACCAACCGTGCATGGGTAATGGGAGAGGAGAGCCTGGGCAGGGGAGGTGACAGTGATCGATGGATCGATGCCCACCCAAAGGAGGAGGTTATCGATTGGATCAGGACACCCCGGAGAGCGTTTTGCTTCAACAAGTCCAAAGTACACTTCTCCTCCAAGTCTGAGAGGAACCGGAAAAGGAAGAAGGGCCAGGTAGAGGAGTCGGGATATTCCTGTACATGCAAAACCATCTCATATATTAGAGGGAGAAAATGTGACTCATGGAGTTATTTTTGTCTAGTAGAAAACTGCATGGTGATGTGAGGGTTGTACAGGCTTTTCTCAGGATGATTAGAGGTGGATAAGCCCCGTGTGTCTCTTTGTGCACAGATTTCTAAAATTAGAGAGATGGATACCAGACAGCTGACACAGAGCCTTGCACTCTCCAAGTTCAACAGTGAGTGGATAGGTTTACAGCAGACAAACCAGGTCTGGATGGAGCCCACAGTCAATTGTGTGTGCGCGCTTTCATTCATTGCTTCACTCATTCACACATTCACTCCTTTTTCACTGACTCATTCGTTCATTCAGTTATCAAATTCCTGTGCTAGGAACTGAGACTAGAGAAGCAGCTCGCAGCTGGAAGGGACCTTAAGACATGTACGTACACGACTGTGATCCAAGGTCGACGGTCTGTGGCTATGGCAGGAGCCGGAAGATGAACAACTCAGGAGTTAAGGGGAGAGGCATTGGGAAGAAGAGGCATTCGAGTTGAACCCTCAAGATGGAGAGAACGTGCCTTCAGCTGCAGAGATGGCACGCCCATCTTACTTTAAGGCTGAAAAGGACTGAATGTGCCAACTCTCCAATAAATCCTTTGAGGTTTATCAGTCGCTCCCTGATTAAGACCTACAGGCAGTGAGGTCTTAATGCTGAGCTCAGGAGAAGGGGACCCCTTCACCAAGTTGGATGCTTTGCCTCCCAGCTGGCATAGCTTCCTCTTCCCTTTCTCTTTGCTCCTTCGAGACCAGAGCTGTCCAGGAGAACTTTCTGCGGTGATGGAGAGGTTCCATACCGGCACTCTCCCATATGGGAGCCTTAGCCACATGTGACTACCAAGCACTTGAAATGTGGCTAGGGCGGCGGAGGGACTGAATTTTAAATCTGATTGAATGGTAGCTACTTTAAATGTAGATAGCCACCTGTGGCTAGTGGCTTCTGCCCTGGACAGCACAGCCGTAGGCTGAGAACTCCTTGCAGCCTCCTTCATGTTTGCAGCAGCCAGCTCAGTTCCTGTGCTGGGCAGCCTCTCAGTAAAGGTGTGATGAAGGAAACTAGTCGCTGCCCACAATCTGGGCTGCTTCTTAAGAGTAAATGTGTTGGGCCGGCCGAGTGGCGCGATAGTTAAGAGCTGGCTTGAGATGCCAGGGGGCCCTGGTTCGGATCCCACATATGAGGGCCAGTGACACTGCCCTCTACAGCTAAGATGCTAAACAACAGCTCAACCTGGAGCTGGGCTGCCGTGAGTCGCTGGAGATGGCGTAGGCTGCAGCCCCTGCTGCAGTGGGTTGCCATGGGCTACCATGTGTAGCCAGCAGCCAGTGTGATCGACCAGCAGCCAGCAGCCACCGTGAGCAGCCGTCCAGAAGCTGGCGACTGATCTGCCTCACCCGGGAAGAGCGCAATGATGGTGCCAACTTGGGCCAGTGAAGCAACGTCCTCCACAACTAGACTGAAGAACAAAAAGGACAGCAACTTGTCTGTTCCCATCCCCCAATTCCCCAATTAAAAAAAAAAAAGAGTGAATGTGTTTACAGAGAAGCCTTTGTGCCACTAGATATTGGTTTCCACTGTCTTTATAGCAGAAGGTGCCCCATCCATATTCCCAACGTCTGGGTGCAGCCAGAGGCCCAAGCTTTGGGGGACGGGGAGAAAAATGGGGGCTGTGTGGTGATGAGAAAGCACTGGGCAAAGGACAGAATACAACCAGACACAGGGGTCATTTGCTGTCATAGAACCCTCCCCACAGCTCCCGCCTCCTCTAAATCTTACAGATGCAAATTGATCAAGTGTTTCGTGTGGATGGATTATTATTATTTTTTGAGGAAACTGGTGAAGGGGCTGACCATGATACGGGGGTGCAGAGTGAAGCAGAGACCCCACCCAGCAGGAAGCCCTGGGGATGAGTGGGTGTCTTCCTCCGTTCAGGCTGCTATTACAAAGTACCACAGACTGGGTGGCTTTTAAACAGCAGAAATGTATTTCTCACAGTTTGGAGGCTAGAAGTCCAGGATCAAGGTGCCAGCATGGTTGGGTGAGGGCCCTCTTCCAGGTGGAAGACTTCTTGTGGTGTCCTCACATGGCTGAAGAGACAAGGGAGATCCGTGGGGTCCCTCTCATAAGGGCACTAATCCCATTCATGAGGGCCCCCCCTCATGACTTAATCATCCCCCGAAGGCCCCACCCACTCCTCATACCGTCACATTGAGCATTAGGATTTCAACTTGCGGGTTTGAGGGCAACACACACATTCAGCCATAGCAGCAGGTGTCTGAGGGAACATGTGGAATTCCCAGGCATCTGGGATAGCCAAGGGCCAGCTCGTTCAATTTGGATTTTTAAGGGGCGAGGGGTCCTCTAGGTTGTCCAGTTTCAATTGGTGGAATGAATGGATAAGTGAGTGAATGGATGAGTGAAAGCAAAGAGTTAAAAGATAATATAAAACATAGATTCTTTTTTTTTTTTTAAGATTTTTCTTTTATTGGGGAATTGGGGGAAGGGGAACAGACAAGTTGCTGTCGTTTTGTTCTTCAGTCTAGTTGTGGAGGACGTTGCTTCACTGGACCAAGTTGGCACCATCATTGTGCTCTTCCTGGGCGAGGCAGATCAGTCGCCGGATTCTGGACGGCCGCTCACGCGGCTGCTGGCTACACACGGTAGCCCATGGCAACCCACTGCCACAGGGGCTGCTGCCTACGCCGTCGCCGGTGACCCCCGGCAGCCCAGCTCCAGGTCGAGCTGTTGTTCAGCATCTTAGCTGTGAAGGGCAGTGTCACTGGCCCTCATATGTGGGATCCGAACCGGAGCCCTCTGGCGTCCCAAGCCAGCTCTTAACCATTGCGCCACTCGGCCGGCCCAAAACATAGATTCTTGTTCTCTTGAAAAATTCATGATTTCGTATCTGGAAGGACCCAGTCCGGGCTCTGGTCCAGCCCCTACATTGTTCAGAGGAGGCGCCTGAAATTCAGAGAAGGGAGGCCCCTGGCTGAGGCCACACAGCTGCCTGACTAACGGTAGGAGGAGAATTGGAGTCTAGATCCTCCAACTCTGGTTCTCCTGACCTTTCCATCGTATTCCAGGCACTCTTAGAACGTGGGGAATGGGGTTTTTCAGGATGCAGCTCCTTTAATGGGTTGGCTTCTCCTGAGGTTTGCCAAGCTAGCCTCCCCCAGCATCACCTGAGCCCTACTAGGAGAAAGCTCCTTGCGGACGGGATGAAGGGGGCCTTGGAGTCCGCATCTCTGTGAGGTCTCCATAACCATCGATCCCCTTGGACCATCACCCAGCCTCAGAGCCGGTCTCCGCCTGGCTGTTTCCTGCCAGAAGTAGCTCAGTTTTCTCTGTGTCAACATCCCCTCCGCGGCAAAGGGCATTTGCTGACGAACAGCCGGCATGTTCCTGGCGGCACAGATGGGCATTCTAGACAGGCAGGCGCCATCAGGCTGATGCTGTGCGTGTCCCCTCGCCGCCTTGGCTTCCCTCCACACGCCACTGAAACACCACCGACTTTCAAAGAGCTGTGATGCAAATAACAGCGATATTAGCGAAATGAACAGTGTGTAAGTGCCAGGTAGTCTTCAAAGTGCTCTCAGAGATTAAGTCATCATCCAGCAACCCTCTGCTGTAGGTACCGTGATTATCTCCATTTTATCATCCTCAGAGAGGGCATGGGACTTGTCCAAACTCACATGGTGAGGAAATGGCAGAGCTGGGGTTTAAACCCAGAAGGTCTGCCTCCCGGGTCTCTGCTCCCCGCCGGGTGGGGGAGCTGGGGAGCCAAGGACCTGGGGGTCAATTTCAGTTCTGCCTTACACGTTGGCGTGTGGCCTTGGGGCCATGCCTACACCCCTCAACCTGCAGGGCCTCCTGGGCACGGTCGTCCCCACTCTCACAGGGCCGCTGTGTGAGTTAGAAGGGATGACGCGTGCAAAGTGCTCCGCTGCCCTCTGCCCAGCACCCCAAAGGTCCCCAATACATTTGAAAAGAAAGAAAATTACATAAGCCATTTGTTTCTCTAACCCATCGACCATCTGAAGTTTGCCACTACCCTTATCCCCTTACCCGAGGTGGTCCCCATTTTCCCTGTGTTAGGTTGACTTGGAAAAAGATTTGGATGCTAAGAACACAATGTGAGTTTTATGAGGGTTTCTTCTCTCTTGGGGAGAGTTTTTGCGAAGCTCATTTCGACACTGCCAGACCTAAGTTCAGTGGTATGGCCCAGCGTCAACCATCAGAAGGGTGGGGGCAGGGGGTGTAAATTGAGTACTTATTATACGCCAGGCATGGGCCTAGGCACGTTGGTTTTAATCCTCCTGTTGAGCCTGAATGCGTTTACCCAAAGCCATGACGTCTGCACTGAGATTCCCAAACTGCGAAGGCAGCACCGTCCAGGGTTGTGCTGAGCTCTCAACCCACTGCAAATTCCGTGTCTGTAGAAACGTGTTCTGCATCCCAGAGTGCTGAGCACCATGGGGCCTGTTGGTACCAGCCCGACACTCAGGTGGGAGCTGACTACTCTACAGTGCTTGACCTGAAGGAGCCGTGATGCCCCTGGCTGGTCCACGGATGGCTTCGGGGGTCTCTGCTCTCCTTGAATTATGTGTCAGTGCCACAGCCGATACTAGCTCATAAGGGACATTTATACAAATTAGAAAAAGGTGACCCCCCCCCAGCATTTTCGGGAGGAAAAATTACAAAAGGGGCCTCCTGTAGGGGCAGATCTGTTACCTAAATGGCCTCCCTCCTCTCGGAGCCCTTCTCCAGGGCTCGGCGCTCACTGATTGGAGACTGAGCTGGACTTTCCTGGAGACCTCTGGGCCTGGTGCCCTTTTACAGTGCACAACCTGAACAACCCTGCAGGAAACCCTGTGCATTGTTTCCTCAGCATAAGACCGTTTTGAGGGAGGGGTCTGTGTTGTGCTAGGGTGTCTCTG